CGCCCTTTAGATACGGTATACGAAGCAGCGGAGTCGTCAAACTCAAAAATATACAAACCACTACATAATCATTACTACCCTTCTTCCACTCTTTTACCAGCAAACTTAAAATACAAAAGTAAAAATCTTCATAACAAAAAAACAAACTATAGCGTTAATTGTTATTATACTAATGCTACATCTCTCGATAATAAAATGGCCGATTTAATTTCAATATCTAGAACGTTTGATTATCACGTTATTGCTATCTCTGAAACATGGTTTCGAAATGACTCAGTACCTAATATCGATGGGTATAGCCTATATCGTAAAGATCGTCAAGACGGACGTCGAGGTGGCGGTGTAGCTATCTACATTACAGACGTATTTAACTCTCATGAAGTTAACCAATTTTATACAAATCTTCTCGAACAAGTCTGGGTATCTGTAAAATTTAACAACAAACATATACTTATCGGTTGTATATACAGACCAAATGATGCCAGTTTAATAAAATATGTCGCTGAATCCTTCAAATTAGCTCATAGTTTAATTAAAAAGCCCTATGATGACTGTTTGATTGTCGGTGACTTTAACTTCCCGAATATAAAGTGGTCTAACGATGGTATTGAATCTTTTAACCCAAACAATCCTACCGAGTATGATTTCTGGAATATTTTCCAAAACAGCCTTTTTACTCAACATATCACATTTCCTACTTTCCAGACTGATTATGGTTCCTCAAATAATATGTTGGACTTGTTATTTACCTACAACAGTAATTCTATTTTAAACTTGTCTCCTAGTACTATACTAGGTAACACCACTAAGGGTCATTTTAGTATCACTTGGAGATTCTTAGTTTCAGAACTGTTTACCGAAAGTGAATCTCAATCGTTTAATTACAAAAAAGGTGATTACGATTCAATATCTAACTTTATTGCATCAATCGACTGGGAGTTTTTATTCCTGCATAAAACTGCAGATCAAATGTTCAATATACTAATTTCTAACTATCGCACTGCTTGCACATATTTTATTCCCAAGATTAATAAAACAAAAAAAAAGTATGATCCTTGGGTTACCCCACATATTAAAAACCTGATCCGAGAAAAAAAATCCGCTTGGCATATAAACTGCTCTACCAAATGGGAGAATAGTGAGCTTAAAATAAAATACAATCGCCTTAATCGTTCAGTAAAAACTGAAATATTTAAAGCAAAAAAAGCACATGAAAAAGAAATAATATCAAAATCCCAAAACAACCCAAAAATCGTTTACAAATATACCAACAAACAACTAAAAATTAAAGATAGAATTCGCTCTCTCAAAGATACTTCAGGCAGAATTATTGAAGCTCTTCCTGATATAGTTGATCTTCTGAACTCTCAATTTAAATCTATGTTTACACTTGAAAGCTCTGAAAATTTTCCTTTGCTAAATAAAAGTGGTATTTTTTCTGAATGCATTTATAATGAAAACCTGGATTTCTCTATCTCAGATATTATTCAGGAACTTGCCGATCTAAAGCCTTATAAATCCTTCGGATCTGACGGCTTGCATCCCTTAATACTCAAGATATGTGCCAAAAGCTTTGCAATTCCATTAACAAAAATCTTTCATAAATCCTTTAATTCTGGAGTAGTACCCACTCAATGGAAATTAGCAAATATTAGTCCGATCTATAAAAAAAAGGGAGATAAATTACTTGCTGAAAACTATAGACCTATTTCACTAACATCTGTTGCCTGTAAAATCTTTGAAAAACTTGTAAAGAAAAAAATTTTAAAGCACATTAACGATAATAAAATGCTCTCTGCAAATCAACATGGCTTCCTTTATCATAAATCATGCGTAACTAACCTAATAGAAACTTTTGATATCATTTCGTCCTCCATAGCATCTCACCAATTTATTGATGTAATCTATCTTGACTTTGCCAAAGCGTTTGACTCTGTACCTCACAACAGACTTTTGTTAAAATTAAGATCTTTCGGAATAAACGGCAAACTCCTACAATGGATTAAATCTTTTTTAGTGGGCAGAAAGCAACGCGTTACAATTAACAATACCAGCTCTGCATGGGTTGATGTTCTCAGTGGTGTTCCTCAAGGTTCTGTTCTCGGCCCGCTCCTCTTCATTCTCTACACAAATGATCTCGCAAAACTCACTGAAACTTCTGAGATATTTGCCGATGATACTAAACTTTTTTCTAAAACCTTATCGCAATCTAATTTTGTTGATCTGCAGGATCGTCTACGCTTGGTATACGAGTGGTCAAACACTTGGTTACTTAAGCTAAACACTTCAAAATGCTGCGTCATTCATTACGGTCGAAACAACCCCCATTACAATTACTTTCTTCAAAATAACCAAGGAATCAACCAATCTCTAAGAAGCTCTACTAAAGAACGTGATTTAGGAGTCATTTTTACATCTAACCTCAAGTGGAGCGCTCATATTCAAACAGTTGTCTCTAAGTCCTTACAAATTCTCGGTATGCTGAAAAAGACATTCACTTTCATTGATGAAAAAATGGCTCTCAAATTATATAAAGTATTTATAAGACCACATCTTGAATATGGAGTGTCCATTTGGGCTCCTTATTTAAAAGCTGATATGGCTTTGGTTGAATCTGTTCAACGCAAAGCTACAAAATGGGCTTACAGCTTGAGACATCTTCAATACTGCGAAAGGCTAAAAAAATTAAACCTACCATCTCTTGAGTTTCGACGCCTTCGATGCGATTTAATCCAAATTTTTAAATTAATACATCGTTTTGATATAGTTAATGATAAATATCTACCAAAATATATTAACTCCGTGTCTCGTGGTCACCATTCTAAAATAAGGCGTGAGTATGTTCTAAACTGTCTTCCAAGATATAATCATTTGTATAATAGATCAGCAAAATACTGGAACAATCTACCAGAGCAAATAACTTTGTACTCCACTGTACTTTCTTTCAAAAATAGACTAGACTCCTGGTTGTGGAAAAAGTTTGGAATAAATATTTATAAAACTGGTTGTTTATAGTGGGGTGTTTCCCCTGCTCGCTGTATGTGTACATTCTATGTAAATTTACGGCTACAACTATAATAATAATAATGTTGTTTCAAAAATAGTGACGTTTTTATTTACTGTAAACTTTGTTGTAATTGCTTCAGAAACGGTTAACTGTATAAATACTTTAATTTGTCTACATCTGACACAATAAGCGAATAATTTTGTACTCTAAATGGACCTAATTGTAAAAAAATCAGCTCTAGTTAATACATTGCATGTCATTAATTGTATTTAAACAAGCAGTTTTACAAACAATGCTACAATACGATAGATTTGATTGCTTCAAAGTTGTACTTTTCTATTTTTTTTGCAAATTTTTAACATGTTAGACCTTTGTTGTGTAAAGAAGACCTTTATTTTTGCAAAGTTTTAACCTGTTTCGAAACATTTGTTGTGTAAAGCAACAAAGTTAGAGTAAGTTAACAGTTTCTATTTTTAGTTTGAAAGTTTGTACTAAAATGGGTAAAACTTTCTGTGACCTTAAATGCTTTTAAAAACTTGTGAAAATAATTTTGTATAAAAGGCAACGTAAAAAAAAATTAATTTAAAACATAAAAAATTTAAGACACTACGGTAAAGAAACTGATTGAACAAATCTTATTTTGAATATACTACTTAGCAGTGCCGGATCAAGGGGGCTAGGGGGGACTATAGCCCCGGGCCCCGCAAATTTAGGGGCCCCAAAAAATTTTAGAGGACCTCTTTTTTTTTTAAAGTCATTTTTAGGCTCTGGCCCATAAAGAGGCCTCCAAAAACAAAAATAGCCCCGGGCCCCAAGATGTCCTTATCCGCTACTGCTACAGAGAGTAAGAAATAAAAAATCTCACACCTTTAAATGTTTTTCTTTTTAAAAAAAAATTGTTCTAAGATCTATTTAAATCTATAAGCTCTTATTTGAACATAAAACTTGACAACTTTTAGGAAACTGCTTTTAAAATATATTGAAAAATATAAGAATTTTTGTTCAAACTTGTCCCAAATATATAAAATCTACACCTAATATTGGAGTAGCATGAACTTTTATAGTGTGTGTGATAACTTAAGCCAGAGTAAGTTGGCACACACTATTTTAGTTACTAATAAATAAATTTAAACGTTATAAATTTTAATTTACTTTACAACATCTAAAACTTTGGTAAATTTTATCAAGTTCCAAATCTAATATATTATATGCGGCATAAAGTTTAGTTTTTCTTAATTTAACAACTCATTTGTTCAATTGTCAATTTGATTTTCAATATTGCTATGTTAAAATTTGTTCATGTTAAAGTTTTTTTTCGAAAAAATTATAAAAAGAAAAAGTTTTTCTTTACTTAAAATTTACACAAAATAGAAAATAAAATTTATTCGCAAAAACAAATTTGTTTAAAATATATTTCAAATCGTTTTAATATTTATATTTTCAATAAAACCTCGTTTAATCTACTTAAGAATTAACATAAAATGTGTGTCCTATTCTTACAATAACTTTTCAATGGCATCTTTAAACAACGCGGTATATTTTTGCTTTGGCAAATTCCGAAGCCAGACCCACAAAATACATTTTACAAGTGTTTCGCTTGTCACGTTTTTTAAAACCTGATTATTAATAATCAAAAAACTACTTTTTAAAAGACCAACTGTTAATTACTCAAGTTGAAGAATTTGTTTGACTTTAAAAAAAAGTTAAATGGAATAACTTGTGTCTGTTCTCAAAGAAACCTAAAAAATTTATTTTGTACATTTATAACATATTTGTAATATTGACAGATATTAAAGCAGTAGTTTCTATAAATAAGTTTTTTGGCAGTTTTTTATTTTAAAATGTCAAATTTGGGTTCAAACTTGGTTACGGCTTGCGGAAAATATCCTGAAGTTCTTCAATTAAACGCTTGGTTTAACATGAATGCTGTAAAACAATTGCATTAATTCTCTAAATTCACTGTTTATAAAATTGTGTTTAGTTTAATTACATTTATGCACGCATGGGTAAATTTAAGAGCCCATCTGCAAGATTTGTGGAAAGCATCTGAGGTAGCTTGCAAAATTATTTTTTAAAGATGAAGAAATAATTATTAATTTAAAGGTAAGAAATTGTATTATATAGTTATCATTTCTTTTTTTAAATGAAAGTTAAAAAAACATTTCGAGGTACAAACTGGTATGTACTCTTTCCTCCGTATCTAGCGCTTAGTATAAAGTCAAATTTTTGACTAAAGAGGTGGGATTTAAAAGCTATATTTTGACGTCACATGCAAATTTGAAGATGATATTTTGGAAAAACCTTTTAGTGATTTTTCTTTCCTCCGTATCTAACGCTTAGCTTAAGTCAAATATTTGAATAAAGAGGTGGGATTTAAAAGCTATATTTTGACGTCACATGCAAATTTGAAGATGATATTTTGGAAAAACCTTTTAGTGATTTTTAATGTTAAACTTTCTAATACTTTTACGAAAACTAAGAAATTCATTATAAACCAATGCAGTACTCTCCATTATAGCTAAAATCGCTTTTTTAAATTTTTTTATAAGAAAACCAAATGCAAGAAATGCTTCTTGTTGAAAGAAACAGTTGTCACAAATAATGTAAATTATAAAAAGTTAATATAAATTATGCAAATTTAATGAAATTATGAAAAACTCTAAATTAAGAAATTAATCAAAGTAATTTTGAGAAGATTATTTTTCAGCTACTTTATGTAAAATTCATGTATTAAAAATGATCATTCATAAGAATTATACACGTCAAAATCACAAAAATTTTGAATTGATATGAATTGTTTGAATTATATTTAAAAAAAAGAAAACAACATTTTGGCGTTTATGGTAGTTAAAAGAGATTTTGGTGGAAACATTAAACTTTTGACGTTAATCGATGCATTAAATCTAAAATTGGATAAAATTATTGCTTTCTTTAAAACTTGACCTAGAGATTCTAGAAATAAAAAGATCAAACAAATGATTTATTAAGTTTTTTTTTTAATAAACTTGACAAAAAAAAAAGTTGCATATCAAAAATTATATTTTTTATAAATTACAATCACGATCTCCTCTATATGTAAATAAGTAATAACGATAATGATGCCAGAAGTTGTTTGAACAACTGGTGCAATTTTTTAAAAAAAGGGTACTAACAAAATTATCAATTAAATGATTTATAACTAAATTCAGAATTGGAAAAGGCAAAGCTTGACATATCAGACATCAATATATCGCTAAAATTACTTTATAAGACATCACTAATTTTTTTTATCATTTTAATTTAATTTTTATAATCTGATCCTCATTACTCTAAGCAACTTTTCAACTGTTGCAGCAACTGTTGTTGCAACTGTTGCAGATGACATGGCTTATATAGACAATACCATGTCATATATAGATAATAGACACGTGTGTATTTGTCTCTAGAAGAGGCACCTTTGATAGAGTCTTCTAACTCGACATTTTTTGGGTAATCAAAACATCTTTTGTATGATAACAATAGGCTTTTGCTTTAATTTTATTTTGTGTAACTTTATATAGATAAGAAGGTTTTTCCGTTCTTAGTATCATTTCTCACCCCATTCAATCTGATCTCTGTCTTTTTTCAACCTATTGCCTATAGATAATTCTATACTGGCAATGGGTGTTGTTGCAGCCAAAGCAGAATTCTAAAGACACTTTTTAAGTAGTTATTTTTAAAATGCCGAGTTTAATAACAAAAACGTGATATTCGTGTATAGTGTAAAGTTTGACTTTTTGTAAATGATGAGCAATTTTGTCTTAGTATTACGTCATTACAGTTTCTGTGTTCTTTGAGTCCAATAATCGTGCAATAATCATCGATGCAGTCTGATAAGTCATTGATAAAAAGTACTCATAGCATTGATGCAAGACGCCACCCTTGCAAGACGCTACCTGCCATCCTCTTTCATTTGGACGTTTTTTTTTCAATGATTACTCGCTGTTGTCTATTTGTTAGCCAAGCAGTGATCCAGTTTTGCTTCAACACGTTATTGAAAATGCACAATCAAATATCTATGCTACTAGTTTACTTGTATTCACAAGAGCATCTCAACAGAGTTATTTTGATTAATTTAAACGGGGAGTTGTTTGTGACGGTATTTTATAAAAGCAGGGAGGTATCTATATAGTTCAAGGTTGATGTATATAAATGCCTCTCTTTTTTTATTTTAATAATATTTTAAGAATGATTTAATAATTCGCCAAAAAAAGTTGGCGAAGTATTAACTCAATCATAAAATATTAATAAAATAAATACAATCACTGAAGTTGAAATTAAATTTAACTACAGTAATATATTTTATAGTCTTCACCGCAGACCTATTTCCTTCATATTTTCATTGAGCTTTAATTTATCTTTTTAAAATTTTGAAAATTAACGAACTGGTTAAGACTTTTTTCCTCGTCTACGCAAGTACTTTTATTCAGTTAGATTTAGTTATATTGCTAACTTTTATATTTTATTACTAACTTTCAAATTTTATAACTAACAGTTGTATCGCTAACTAATACAATTACTCAGTTGTATAACTAATTTGCTCCCAAACCGGTTTGTTGGTCAAGGACATCCATAAAAATGTTTTAAATGATTGTAACTGCTCTGTCCATGAGTTCAAGTTCCACCATTTTTTGGTGCATACTAGAAGCATTATTTCTAAATCTTCTTATTTCGTTTGGTTTTTATGTACATTCTGTTTAAATGCATATAATAGTGAGTGAGCCAACAATAGACAGCCTTCACTTAAAAGATTTTATCAAAATGACCGGAAACTTTTCTAGTTACAGAAAATAGCTTTTGTTAAGCTGAAAATATTTTAAAAACTCTACGGATTGCTGGACGCAACAATGACCAATAAGATTTACTGATTTTACATGAATAATTTTAAAGAGCACCTGCTCTATGTTAAAATCCAAGGAATCTACGGGCATACTGAATGCTGTTGTTAAGAACGTAAGAAGAACACCCATTTGTTAAAAGAATTTAACAAAATTTGTTATACTCTTCTAAAATTTTAAAATTAAAAGTAAAAACTTGTTAAATTTGTTAAATTAAAATATTAAAATATCAAATTTGTTAAATTTATTGTTCAGAATACACATTATTTATTAAGCAATACAAATCAATATAAGACAAAATATTGGTAGATGAGAATAATAAGGTTTTATCTCCAAATTTAAAAAAATGATAATTTTCTGTTTTTAATATTCCCGTAACTATTGCCTCACATTTAATACAAGCCAGTACGGTGTTAATTTTTGTCCAAAAATCTGCCGATTGCCAGTTTACATGTGTTTTCAAACTCGCAGTCATAGTTAGTGGAAATTATGTGAAAATAACTATAAAATTTTATTAGACCAATCATATCAGAAGTTTTTTGCGAGTGGTTTCTATCGGTACAGATATTTTGCGCTAAACTATAATTTGATTTATAAAAAAACGAATGGATCACTATATACCTCATCCTATCATTTTTTAATTAATTATATTTTGAGGCTATACTCTCACATTAATAACATAATATCAAATTGATATTTGCAGTAAAATTATTATAAAAAATGGACACTCTAATTATAACTATACTCCTAAATAAAAATTGTTTATTAAAAAACTAAAAATCTTTTATAATAAAATAATTTTTAAAACTTAAAATTTGGTCAAAAACCAGAATTAAGCAATCTCCGAGAATAGTTCAAAGAAATTATGAAATATAGGTAATCTAATTAGAAAATAAAAGGCAAATTCTTCTTAGAACATGCTGCTATGAAAAATATATTAAATTGGCTTGTGGTTCTTTTAACCTCGTTGAAGGAAGGTAAGTCGTCAAGTACAGCTAGTCAATACCTAAAAAACAAAAATATAAAATTATTACTATCCAATTAATTTATCAGACATTTTTTATGCTCATTCAATTTTTAAATTCTAATTCATAAATCTACACACATTGTAACTTACATAGCTTGTTGAACAGCCTAACATTAGATATATTGTGGATTAAACTGCTAAACTTAAGCATAACTTAATCTTAAACCAATAGAATAACTTAACCTTCAAACATTAGAACTATCTATTTACATCTTACATTTATTCACAATAAATAAAAAGCATAACAATAGAAAAGGGGTCATCTTATTCGATATTTTTATAACAGATAATATTTATCAAAACTAATAGAAATACATTATTTTTATATTTGGTAATGCTATCTTTTTCATGAAGATTATTTAAAAATATTTTAAAATTTTATAAATAAAAGTCAAGTCTAAAAAAATATATTAACTATTATAAATAAAAATAACTTCTGAAATAGATATATTATCAAAATGCAAAAGTATTTTCAGAAATAAAATTATCATCATCATCACCATCATTACCAAAAAATAAATGCTTGTATATATATTTTTATATTTGCCAGCACAAATTTTTTAATAAAAAGCTATACAACTAAGCAGCTTTGGAAGTCACTATGCTTGCAGTACCAATTTTGCAAGTCATTACATCTGTGATACCTAATTTGAAATTTACAATATTTGCTTGGGTATTTTATATATCATGGCTTTACTTAGATAACCTTAACCCAAACACCAAGGTTTATAATAATCTAATACCTTGTATCAGATTATCATAACCTGATACACGGTATATCTGATACCTTGTATCAGATGCTGGGCCGTCCCGAACGGGGGTGTCCCCAACCCCCTCCCTCAAAGCTGTTGTATATGCATTTGAGTGGGCACATTTAGTTGGCAAGTTTTGAAGTATAGTTGGCAAATTTCAAATATAAAAGACCTTTTTTTTTTGTCTCTAGTTGGCAAGAAAACACATACGACCCCCCCTTCCCTTAAGAGACCTCTTCGGGACGATCCTGATCATATGTTTATCAACTTTGAAAAGCAAACTACAAGATGCTCTTATTTTTGAACATAAAACATATAAAAGGATATTAATGAATATAAATGAGAGAAACACAGTTACTTTAGATATACAGCAATATATATATGAAAAGTTATTTGAAAAACATTTAAATTTTTAAAAAGGAGAAAATTTAGTTAACACTTCAGTTCATTGCTAATACAATGTAACAT